CATCGGTTTAATCGCATCGGACAACCCCTACCCCTTACCCACTCACATCTTCGGAGCTCAGCCCATCCCGCCGGCCCATCCTAACACGCATCCACGCATTAATCGCGCACCACCGGACTCGTCGCTGGAACCGACCGTCCCGTGCGTCCTGAACGCTGCGGCATGGGAGCATTATTTACGAGAGTACCCCGATCGCGAGCTTGTACGTACCATACTGCACATAATTCGACACGGCGCCAACATTGGATTTCAAGGCGATAAATCTGTGCCGCAAACCAGTAAGAACCTCAAATCGGCTTTCGATTACCCCGATGCGATTGCTTCAGACCTGGCAACACAGCTACTTCACAATTGAACCATGGGTCCGTTCGATTCACCCCCCTTCCCCAATTTTCGCACCTCTCCTCTCGGTGCAGTTGCGCGCAAGCGTACAACCAAATTTCGACGCATTCATCACCTCTCCTGGCCCCGCGGCACGTCAGTCAACGACGGGATCCCCGATAGCGAGGCGTCCATCGTCTACGACATGTTCGACAAGGCTGTCACTGATCTCATTGCTTCTGGGCCAGGCTTGCTCCTAGTCAAGCTTGATTTGGAGTCAGCCTTTCGCCACATCCCCGTTCGCGCCGCCGACTATCACCTCTTCGGTTTCGAGTGGGAGCGGCAATTCTACTACGACATCGCGTTCAGTTTTGGTGCCCGATCTGCGCCCTATATTTTCAATTTATTCGCAGAAGCGCTGCACTGGATCCTCGACAGGAACCTTCCAGCTCGCCTTCGCCACTATCTGGACGACTTCCTTGAGATGTTCGCTCCTTCAACCCCACTTCTCATCGCTCAACAGGCGTTGGAATGGTCTCTCGTGCTCGGGGCGCAGCTCGGATTAAATTTCCAGCTCACCAAGCACCACGGGACTCGAGTTCCTCGGACTCAGTCTCGACACTGTCGCCATGGAGGCACGCTTACCTTCTGACAAACTCAGCTATCTTACTAGCTTGCTCGACGACTGGACAGTTCGCACGCACTGCTCTTTGCGAGAACTCAAGGAACTTACTGGTTTCTTGATCTTCGCTTCTCAAGTCGTCCCGATGTCGCGCGCCTTCATGCGCGCACTCTATGATTTCGAACGGGATTTCACACACACTCACACGCGCCGCCGAATATCCAAAGGCGTGTGCCGCGACCTCCAATGGTGGCGCAAATTCACTCGCGGATGGAACGGCATTCGCCTTCTACTCCCAAACCGGGAGACCATTCACGTCTTCACTGACGCCAGCGGCACGAAGGGTATCGGGGGCTATTTTGGGCAAAAATGGTTCTCTGCTCGCTGTCCGCGTCGTCTTCGACACCATCACATCCAGGTTAAGGAGATGTTGGCAGTGCTGCATGCCGTCCTCTGCTGGGGCAATGATTTTGCCGGAAAGCATGTTGTGTTCCACAACGACAACGACGCCGTTTATAACGTGCTACGCACCCTGTCAATCGACTCGAAGGCGACCATGAACCTGCTTCATGATTTTCTTGCACTGGCTTGCCGCCTCGATTTTTCCTTCTCGTCTGTTTGTTTATCATCTGCTGAAAACGGAACTGCTGACGCTGCTTCTCGCTTTTCATATTCCCGGATGTTTTCCCTCGCACCCAATTTGCACTCAAAGCCTTCCTCGAAGGTCCTCCGGATTGGTGGTACGAGCGACACGTCAGCCCCCCCCGGACGGTCGCCTTTTACCTTTGGCACGGAATCGCATCGTCTACACGACGCACATATTCAACGGGGCAAAAATCTTACATTGAGCACGTCAGACTCACTGGACAATATAACGCTGATGGATCCGTCTTGCCAGCTTCGCAACCTGCCATCATGTCGTGGATGTGCTCCCTTGCGGGACACGTCAAACCACCCACCATTAAAGGGTATTTGTGCCATGTCCGATCCATGCACACAGACACCGACATTCCCTTTACCGTCTGCGACTCAGCGATGGTCCAGCGACTTTTCCGCGGAATTAAACGCTTCCACGGCGACCCAGGTCGCGTCCCCAAGCATCCCATCACCCTCCCCATCCTTAACGCGATGCTCGACACATTGCAGCCCGGCACAATCACAGGACACGAGCAATTGTACGCATCCTGGTGCCTCGCATTCGCGGCTTTCCTCCGCTCCGGCGAATTTACGCTTAAACGCGGCAAGTTTCACACCGCAACTTGCCTCTCCCGCGACTCGGTTGAATTCCTTCCTTCCTTCAAAAATCCAGACCGACTTGTGCTCACTCTCCCAGCCTCCAAGACAGACCCCTTCCGCAAAGGGATCCGTATTACTGTTGCCGCCGCACCAGGCAAACGCACTTGCGCAGTCGCCGCGCTTAAGCGCCTGTTCGAAAACCAGCCACGCCCCGGATCAGCTCCACTGTTTGAGGGTCTTGACGGGGAGGCAATGCGTTACGAATACCTCGTTAAATCCATTCGCACCGCCCTTCTGTCCGCGGGAATTAACCCCAACAACTTCGCAGGCCACAGTTTCCGCCGCGGCGCAGCGTCGCAGGCTGCTGCCGCAGGTTGCGCAGACCACGAAATCCAGATGCTAGGCCGTTGGCGCAGCGACGCATACAAGCTGTACATCGACGTGGACATCAGGCATCTGCTTCACGTCTCCAAACTCCTTCATATGGGCCATCCACCCACCGCTCCTCCCGCTCCTCCGGCGCTTTGAAGCTCATCCACTTATGGCTTGGGTCTGGCCCTCTTTCGAGGACAGGCCTGAGGGCTTTAGGTCCGCAATTCATTTTGTCCCCAAAATTATCAACTCTCTCGTGAATCCCTTCTCTGCATTCCTCCATCGTTTCCCTCTCCCCTCTCCTCTCGCAGGAGTGAAGCCAATGATCGCTGGAAATCACATATGGCACAGACGAGCCCCTTTACCACCATTGCGTGGATGGAGTACCCGAGCACAAACGGCAGACTTGCTCTCGACGGCTAGAACTTCCCCTCATTTGCGAGGAGTTCACGGAGCAGCTCTTCTTTGATGTTGCGGTTGATTGTCAAGAATCGGTGTGATCGTTCATTGGGGCAGTAGTTCTGGCATCTAATGAAGCCGTGTTACCGTCTAAATTCATCTGAAATAAATAAATCAGTCCGTTGACAACAAAACCCATTTCATGGGCGCTACCATTTTGAGCTTTCTCACTGCGTTCAGCCCCGTCTTAAACCTGAAAGGCGCCTAGAGGGCTAGGCCTTGATAGCCGGAGCTAGGCGCTCGCCTGTGCCTAGCCAGCTTAGACACCAGTTGCCTAGGTGGGCGCACAAAGGCGCACAACTGCTAGGCATCGCTAGACACCGTGATGCCTATGCGAACCTGAAGAGTGGGGTACATTGGGAACCTGCTCTGAGGCGTGCAAAGAGAATGAAAGAAAGCAGGACAAGGGAGAGGAGTGGCCAGCAGGCATTCCTGGAAAGCTTAACAGACAGATGGTAACGGAGAATTAATAATACATGCGCAGGGTCGACCAGAAGCCGCACGAATTCATTAATCCCACCTTGGGGACTGACCTGAACCTACCTGGCATAGGCTGGAGTGTGCCTAGATGCATAGGCGTGCCTGCGCATTGTAGGCATACACGACATAGATCACTCTCGCACCGCCTCGGCAGGCGGCGGGTCTAGCTGGCCTAAACCCGCTGGGTCTAGGTAAATACGCACACATAGACATCGGATCAACTGATCTAGACCTTTCTCGCACGACATGGACAACTCGCCGGTCTAAGGACCGGCTGAACGCAGTGTCTGTAAACAGGAAGGCCGGTACATTTGGCACCATTTGCATCAGTATAAGGGCAGTATTTCCGTATAAAATCTGCCGTATGAGCATTAAAATAGAAAGCGAGAGACGGCTACCACATGGTAGGGCGAAGAGTTTATGGGTTGTAAGTGGGCAAGATGATGGACTAAGGCAACAGAGGTGGACCAACTCAAAGGCGGATTTTTTTTCAGGGTCTCTAGACCGATTGAATTCATTCATAAACGTCCGGATATATTAATATTTGGACGGAATCCATTAAGCGAAGATATTTGACCTTCTGGCCCACAAAACGGCGTCAAATTCAATTGTGGGGCTCGCTGCGGCAATCGTTCGAAAAGTGGCTGCGGCGCCGACACAGCCACTCTGCGGCAGTTTTTTTTGGCGGTAACCGAATTTCACTGGAACTTATTTCCAAATTCCGGCAATATGTCATAGAGATGATGAATTGTCTGGAGCTACTCCCTCAAGTGCGAAATGGGCGTAAAACTCAACCGTGAGACTCGCTATGGCTGTGGTTCAAAAAAGTGGCTGCGGTAATAATACAGCCACCCTGCGGCAGTCTCTCTTCAACATCATCTTTAAGTTCACGGCTATTTTTTTAGATTATCGGACATATTGATGTGTGTTGGATACTTCTAGCCAGTTAACTCTCAGGAACATTGTAGAATCATTTTTTTTCATGTTATATCTAAAGTATTATCGCCAAGATCAGAAGTCATGTGGGTCTACCGAGGCCATTACGAGCTAACGGTGCCAGCGGGGGGGCCGCGTCACATATAGCATCCCTGTGAATTAATAGGCCAGCCCGACTTACATAGACAGTTTCCCAGTCATTCCATCCCAATGTTGAATTTACAGGTACTTATGCTGAACTTGCGAGTGGTCATCAAGAAAAGAACTTGGCAGTGGATATAAGTCTCGCGCTCGACTCCAGGCTGGGTCATGGTTGGCCTCAACAATGTCTGCTTTTTTAAAGCCCAGGTCAAACCATCAAATTGTTGAAATATGCAGAGGGCAGATGGAAGGGGGATAAGGCCAAGTAGTATATGGTGTGCATCCCCGTTTACTCTCACTGGATTTGAGAACAAATTGTGGCAACATCCCTGGTTCGACTCCAGGCTGGGCATGCCGCTGTGATCTCATTGCTTTTTCTTTCAACTATGATAAAATTGTTAAATTAAATGCAGTACAGAAAGGAGTGGGAAAAGACCCAGTAGCACACCGTGTACATCTCCTTTCATTGCGTTGTTGGGTTGTATAAGAGACTACGGAGAAGGCCCTGGTTCGACTCCAGGCTGGGTCATGTACACTTCAATGTCATGAACAGCCCAAACTGGAACTTGGCGCGGGGCCGCACAGCAATTATTTATTGCAATTCAAAGCTGCGCGGGCTGACCTGACCGCCTGCAAGTTATTTGCGAGCGACTCCGTGTGTGCCAAGTTTCTCCTGTAAATGATAAGAAAATAGCGTTGTATTGAAAAAATGATAAGAACATCGCGGCGTGTTGATTAAATGATCGGGTACGACACACCTCTAATTAGAAGTATTTATTAATAAATTCACTTTCTCTCATTACAGGCTTTTTTTTCATAATACACTGCCAGGCTCTGGTGCCTGTATAACTGCAGAATGACCCGTTCGACTCGGGGTGGGGGCATGCGCAAGATATTTCCCAAATGCATACTCCATTTTTTCCCCCAAGCTGCGAGCCGAGCGGCCAAGTCCGCCCATTTTTTCAACAGCTTCCTTGTTTATCCGGCAATCCAAGGGGAGATTTGCAGGAAACCAAGCGATAAGCAGAACACTCCCTTCTATTCGAGCCTTGCCTCCGGTGGGGCATGCTCATCAAGATTCTTTTAATGACAATAGTACTTATAGTGTAGTTCGGTTTCGCCCGACGAACGGAAGTTCCACCAACTCAATCAATGAATTATGATAATGCACATATACAATAGAATGCTTGAATTCAACCACACCAGCCTCAACATAAGGGAATTAAGCACTCTGGCACATGGCGTGCATCTGCGTCCGCTGACATTCAACTGTGGATCATCGCAGAATGGTCCGGGCGACTCGGGGTGGGTGCATATGAGGGCAATGCAGAGCGCCCGCCGCGTTGCCGGCTAAGCACAGTGTGCCCCGAGCACCTGCCCGCACCACGCATCACCAAACGTACCAGCAGCCGTGCGCTGCCAGCTACGTTATCGAGCCGCTGCACGGCGGCGACTAACTGTCGGTGCCCCCACCTGCGTTATCGAGCGCGGCATCACGTCCCCGAGCAGCAGGCATAGAGCTGTGCCGAACAACACACAAACGAAGGCGCAACCATTGAGCGTCAACGGAGGCGGTGTCACTGCGCACAAGGTGGGCCAACCGCGCACAAGGCGCTGGCGCGTGCTCGAGCACAAACGCACCGAACCGCGTCGAGTGGACACCATGGAAGGGATCCCAAATGCAGGCGAGATAAAGCAACATGCCCCAGCGCACATCCACAGGTACATCGTCCGCCAACCCGATCCCAAAAGTACAACCCCCCCAAAAAAAATCCCAAAAAGCCCAATACACGAAAGAAAAATAAAAAAATAAAAAGAGCCAAAAAAACCACCACGCACCTCATTGAACCCAATCGTCCCGCATTAAAGATCGTCATAAGCAGCTTGACGGTATCGACGTCGAACGGCGTCCAGTCGTCGTTGAACAGCACGCGCTTGAGCTCCGGCGCCGTGATCGCGCCGGTGTGGTCCGTGTCGACCGAGAAGAACCACGACCAGAGTCCGCGTGTACCGCTAGTGCATTCATTAAATACCATAGAGGGGATACATAGGGAAACGTACTGCGGATTTGCACCAGGCTGCAGTCTCGACGCAGGCGGGGACGCGAACCCGCCGCCGTATGCGGGCGGTGCGCCGTTTGCCGGGGGGCAGGGCGTCGCCTACATAAACATTAACTCACTAATATCAATGGAGTACAGAAAAGAACCACGGACCGCCATGCCCCTGCGCGCCCCCATACCCCTGCTGCGGGGGCGGCGCACCGCCGTAGCCCGGAGGCCCGAGCCCCGCAGGGGAGGGGGGGGAATCGAATTTTTGGCTAGGATAGGTCCGGGATAGGCGAACAAAAATCGCCCAATCGGCTGACCTGGCTTTCCCGAAGCTTCCCGAGTCCGCCTGCTAAAAGGACCGAAGTCCGACCCAGTACAGTGGTAATTTCCACGCAAAGTCAAAATTAAGGGTCTGAAAAACGACCAATATCTGGGGATGAGTTACCTGAATAAATTTAGGACTCGTAATTCGGGGGCAAATCGGAGCATCAGAATGAGCGAGATTCCAAGATTCCAACTCCAACAGACAGGGGTAGACAACCGACAAGCGAATCAGCAACGCCTTTAGCTACTGCGTAGCTGAAAGCTCCGGCTTTGTGTCGACCTTCATTTCATCAGGACCAGAGGGCGAAGTCCAATGTCTCCAAGAAAGTTACGGGCAGCAGTTCGCCCTCTGGAAGAGGGACCACGTAGCGTAGGACCAGCTGACGCGCTGCCCGTATTCGTCGCAGTGACTGGAGGGGCAGGATTACCATTGAAGTCAATCGAGTCGCTCTGGGATTCGGTGAAGGGAGGGAGTGTGTCTGAGTGGCGGAGGAGCAGAAACCGATCGGAGATCCCGTTGGAGGGATGGGAGCAATAGGGAGTGACATGAGAGGCGAAGAAGACATTCTGACAGCGGCGATCACTGAGGATGAGTTACAAGTCCTAAACTTGTTTAGGAAACTCGTTCTTAGAAATCTCGTTCCCCCGTTTTGAAATAGCCACTTCATCAATAATGTGCCCGTGGGAATGATGGGAATGATCTTTAGTCATATCCTTTGACTCATCCTTCATTCATAGGGCTTTTTTTTGATGGCTTGCAATGATCTTTTGTCATTCCTTTGACTCATCTCGTGGGAATGATGGGAACGATATTTAGTCACTTCCTTTGACTCATCCTTTATTCACAGGGCTTTTTTTTGATGGCTTGCAACGATCTTTCGTCATTCCTTTGACTAATCCTCCGTTCATAGGTTTTTTTTGGATGGCTTTGGGTTTATTTTTGTTACATAGGATGTGGTTTCTATGTGGAAATTTCTGACATGGGCGCTTCGTGGGCGCGTCTTTTCGAATGCGGATATCGGGATTTCTTGTCCACGGTTATGGTTACGACGTCGTTTTCTGCGCGACAGGTCCCTTTTTAGACTGCCCCTGTGCGTACTATAAGAGCTTTGGATTTTTTGAGTTGTGTGTCAGTGATTAGATCTCCTAGCAGGATTTCACTGTCCTTGATTATGTCGGCTTTGGCTGTTGTCCCGGGTTCGTGTATTTAGACGGGGGAGGCTCGACTGAACCATTGTTTTTTTAGCAGTTTCTGTTTCTGACTTGCCTGCGGAGCTTGTCTGTCCTTTTCTTCGCATGTCGTTCGGATCCTTTTCCATGGATCCTGAATTATATTGTCAAGATCGTTTCAAGGCCACGCATTTCTGCGCCTCAATATCAATGGGCCTGGTCGTGCTTTTACGTCGATCACAATGTTCATTGTGATGCTTTAGCGCATTATATTCAGCGGTCTGTCCAGGTCGATTTGGTGTTCCATTTCAAGGTGTTGCCTTCGGCGAGGCGAGACAGGCATGCCATCCTGCCTGGGGACAAGCTCATTAAAATTTGGGCACGTTGTTTCGAGCTATTACACCTGTTTTCGGCCGATGCAGACCGTTCTCTTTGGAGTCAGCTGACGCACCTGCCACAGCGCTCTTTTTGAGCAGATCGGCACTCTTGTCTGGAGATACAATACGTCCTTTAGTTTTTGAAATTTAGGCTGGTTCGATGGACGAGCAGAGATCTGGATTATTGGAGGATACGGGGCTTCATATGCCTCTTTTGTTCGGCGGGTCTCTTCCGCCGCTCAGGTCCGTTATGTTCGACGGAGGCTTTCTTCTGTGGCATCACATTCCGTTCTACGCCAATCTCCAACTCCTTCATTTGGAAAACCTGTTCAATGACTCCGCTCTTTCATTGGAGGACTTGTTTCTCGTTTTCAACACAGCCACTCTTCTCGTTGAATTGCGGGCGTGGATTTCGGGGACTCCGACCTTTCCTCACTGGTTCTTCCTCATCTCACCACCCTCTTTTTCGTGCCGGTGGATAGCTCGTCCTCGCGGTTTCTGGCCAGGTCGGATTTGCCGAGTGTCCGTTTATTGCATTTGGAGATCTACGATTCAGCCCACATTGATTATCTTGCTCAACATTGCGGTCCGCTGCTCGAACGGGTGGAGACAGTTTTTCTCAAGGTTTAAGTACACAAGGAATTTTAACCAGCTGGCATTTTTGTTGGCTTCAATGCCTGCGCTGGTCCGTTTAGATGGTCGGGTTGATGTTCCTAACATCGCTGCAGCCTTGCATATGGTCCTACTCTACTGGGATAACTTATGCCCGTTGTTGCGGCTTCTTATGCTGGACGATCATCTGTTGTACGCGGCTATTGTTTCTTTGCTGGTTATCAGACTATTTACCGTGGAGAGTAAGAAATGTTACAAGTCCTAAACTTGTTTAATAGGTAATCATTTCTATTGGTAATCTCGTAGGGCTCTCTTGAAAAATAGATTCAGTGAATTGTTGGGTGTCCGTAGGAGTGATGGGTGTGATGCTTGAAAATATTTTTTTAGATTAGTAGTGGGGTTTTGTAAAGAGATTCAGTGAATTGTTCGGTGCACACGGGAATGCACTAATTATCGAGCCATTACTCCATGGTGGTATTGTGGTGTAACCTGTTTGAAAATTTGAACTCCCATCAATCGACTCGTCCTGAGTCATGCTCTCAGCTCGGTCCCGGTCCCATCCTGAGCTCTGAAACTCTACCACACCCGTCATATCTAAATTCTGGGGTGACTCAGACATTGTACCATAAACCGCTGGAAAATGTGAGTCATATGGTAAATTTAGGAGGATGGCTGCACAGGAGACGTCATGATTTCAGGTACGAAATTAATACTGCGTACTTTGCGCAGCCGCGACAAAAATCTATAAATCTTGGGTTGAGTTAGTTCAAACGTTACCAGCACTCTCACAGAATTTTACCCTCTAAAAAAATGTCTACCGTATCATATTCCACCACCTCTCTCGTGTCCAACACCACGACTTCGTCCCGTGTTCCCCTAACGGGATCCCCGCAGACGCAGCCCAAGGACTTCCAGTCCGCATTCGTGACTCTCCAGTCGACGTACGGTTTTAGCGGGCAGACCCCTAGTGTCGTTGCGAAGCCAAAGAAATCCGAGCA